CAAGGATAGAGACCCAGTAACCCAATCTTTATAAGCCTTCAATTTTAAGCAACCACTGCTGAAAATAGTATCCTGATCTTTCCGTGTTCCTTAATATACCTTGCTGTTGACTCTTGAACTAATTTTGGACTTCTTTTGGGAACCAAACTCTAACTTGTGCCTTTCTATTCAAGGACACTGGTCAGGAGTAGACTTTCTATTGCCTGCTTTACTGAAATTTCTAAAAGAATTAACTCCAGTTAATCTGCAAGAATTACAACATATACAGGTAGCCCAAGCTATTTAGTTAATATGCATGCTTAATCAATCAGTAACCTAACACGTTGCAGTTTGCTTGCCCATTTGCTTGAATATTATACACAAAACTTGGGTGGTTGCTGAGTCTGTTATAAATTATTGACCTTTCATATTCCTGACCCAGCTAGCAGTTAATTTGGTAATTCATACCTTAGGCATTCAGCTCCAAATTAAAGCAGCAAAGGTTTATGTTATCATGGAGCATGCCCAGGTCACATATGATGGTAAGCCATAATGTAGCTTATTAAATTTTGGCTTAGTATGCTGTGTAAACCCAGGTGTTGTGGTTTCTGCACAAAGGTTTCTGCCCTAAGAGGTTGCAGAAATCTATTCAGTTGTGATCTGATCAACAAATTATGGTAAGGTTAGCACAGTGTATGAACACAGTTTAAGTAAAACATCTCAAGTTTCAGTTCAGAGGATGAAGAAGGAAGACTACATCAGGTCCATATAAGATAAACTAGAATGGGAGGTTGTGTCACCAATGAAGCAGATTCAGTGAAATAACTTTTTCTTAAGTTCTTAACAACCAGAATATGGCAAAATATAATAAATGGGCAATTTGAAATAGTTTTCAAAGTAACAAGTATTATGTTAATTTCTTTTTAACTGTCTTTGATAAAAAAAAGGGGGGGCAGTCAAATTTGAATCTTAAAAATCACATTTAGTTAATTGCAAGAAATGGATGTACCGTATGTCCTCATGTAATTTTTGCATTCATATCTTTCTTTTCTTATGCATTATCTCAGCTTGCTGACAGGAGATTTTTGCTGAAATAGGAAAAGAGTGGGTTATACATGAAATTATGAATGCTATAAGTCATTGTAAGTTTTTAATGATATTTTTACTGAAGGGCAAAATCATGTTGGTTCATTGTTAAAACAGTTCTGAACCAGCAAACGATTGTTTAAATAAATTATACTCAATTTATAATTCAACTGAGCATTATTATCTGGACCAATTCATTTTCTTAGCTAGATAATATAAACTATGATGGCACTGGCACCAATAAACAAAATGTTTATTATTTTTTGTTAAAATTCTAGAATTTTTAACTTTAAATGATATAAATAGAATGCACTTTCAGAGGTTTTACCACTTCCTACATGATTGCTAATGAGAGTATAGCCTAGCAACAGATATCAGAAGGACTAGCATAACATCATCTCTATACAGTGGTACCTCTACTTACGAACACCCCTACTTACGAAATTTTCAAGATACGACCAGCTCCGGCCCCAAAAATTTACCTCGATGTGCGGCCATTTTTCCACCCTGACACGTGGTCCGCGGACATTTTTCTGCCCCGCCGCGCGGTGCGCGGGCGTTTTGCCGCCCCGCCGCACCCCTGATGCACAGCGTGGGCGCTTTTCCGCCACGCAGCGCACGGGCGCTTTTCCACCCCGCCGTGCGGCGCGCAGGCGTTTTGCCGTCCCTGACGCATGGTCCGCGGATGCCAGAACGGATTAACGGTAATTACATTGAACCTTATAGGAAAATTTGCTTCAGGGTGTGACCAAATTCAGAGGGCGGAATGGATTAACCGTATTTACATTGAACCTTATGGGAAAATTTGCTTCAGGGTGTGACCAAATTCAGAGGGCGGAATGGATTAACCGTATTTACATTGAAC